ACATTTCACGAAAGCAATCTCATAGTAGATTGCTATAGAAAATGACCGAACAGAATAAGGAATATTGACAGTATGCATGGTAAATAAACAACTCATTTTTGTAATGTTGAATGTAAACAAGGTTTAAAAATAATAAATTAAGTTTTAAGCGTTAATTTGTCAGGAAATAAGAAAAATAGTTTAACGAGGGCTTATGCCACCCTAGGTCGCATAATGATGAACGATGGTGAACGCTCCCCACAATAAGATGAGTAGGCCTCAATATGCCATTTAATTTTACTTAGCCTTTTTTCCAAAGAGGTGTTCTAATTCAGGATGAGCAGCATAAAATGCCCAAGTGAGAAAGTTTACATGTTGAAGTCGGCTGATAAATAGACAAAACGAGGAAGTAAATGACAAGTAATCCAGTAATCGGAAATCTAATTAGTTCATCAGATTTCTTAATATTATAATTATTATCAAGCCATAAAATAGGTCCAGTTATAGTAGTAAATCAATCCTGAAACCACTTTAAACGAATTAGGTTGATTAACGTCATTATTAGTTGGCAGTTCAGGTTGAAGTATAATACAACAATTAATTTAAGTAAAATAAGGCATACCAACGGAACGTGGGGCAGGGACAACCTTAGAACAATCATAAGGAAGACCCTCCTGAAACCATATAACGGGATTTGTCCTGGCCTGAAGGTTGAAGGATAAAGCAACAATGCAGCATGTATCTCGTCTTGCTGAGACCCGGCTAGATATATAAATGAAAATGGTAAGTGATCAGAAATGGAAAACTATTGAGTCTCCATAAAGCAATGGGTGAAGAAGTTTACCCAGCCCAAGTTCCTATGGATTCATATAGTACAAGAAGTGTTGGTTCGTAGAATCCATTGAGGAAGTCAAAATCAATAATATTATTAATTTTTTCTCCAGTTGACGTGGCCAAGCAAGTAGTGTAGGACTGAAGAATAGGCGCAGTAAGTTTCCTTTGCCAAGCGCTTTCGTGAGTGGGATTATCATTATCAGAAAACATAGGTCCCGTATTGGGAGTGAGTGAATCATTGATGGCACCAACGGCACCCAAAATATCCGCTCTTCGAAAGGGGATGACTGCGATGTGACGATCATATATTAGCATCACAGCACAACGTTGGTTTGGATCGACACGAAGCAAAGGTGATTTATTAAATTGAAAGCGGCCTCCCTTAAAAGTTTAAATATGAAACAAAACAGAAACCACCTTTTGATTTTCATGCTCAAAATTATGTATAGACAGCGTCCTTAATTCATATTGAACAGGATCAAAATTCATTACAGCGAGCTAAGATAATGTTAGCATAATTCTAAATACTTTTGCATCCTTGAAGCTCACCAGGATGGAGTCGACAGTCTCACCGTAAAATCTGACGGAAACAATATCCTCAATTTCTTCATAAAGGGATGTCCCAAAAACTTTATTAAGCCTCCATTCGTTATTTCTTTAAGTAAATTAGCAAGTTTATTTAATTACTCAATAATAAAATTATATATTTCGATGTGATTACTTCTAACGAGAATTAAATCTTCCTGGGAAGGATGTATAAAGCTGCAATATATACATTTATCCACAACTGTTGGAGAAGAAAAGTGCTGAAAAAGTGCGCTGTGCGAAGTAGGCTTGGAAGAGTCGAAGAGGGGAACGGACTGAGCCATTAGGGAATACACGAGAGTAAGGGCAAATTTACAACCTAAAATAGCACACTATTTTAAAGCATCAAAAAGCATTGAGAACAAATTTATGTATATATTTTTATCACAAAATAAGTATTTTAAAATATTTTTTCACTCAATTTAAATCTCTAATTATAACATTGTTTTTATTTTAAAATCAATATTAAGTTAATAAATATTTTCTTTGTTTGTACGTGTCAACTACAATAGCTTGTTGGCTATGCGGCCCTTTACCTTTTTTTTGCTTAGACCGGGTTTTCGCGTTGTTTGATTAATTCCTTCCAGTTTGTTGTCTTCCAAAATACTTATTCTAGCCTTATTAATTTTTTGATTTTATATCTGCTTGTAACTTTTAAATGATTTTCCAAATAGCCTTCATTATTTCAAGCCTATTATGCTTCACTTGCCTCTATACTAAGGCATCTTCCGTGAATGTGGAAGGGAACAAGGTCATGAGGTACATTTTATTCTTGCCTTAATATTTAGGGATAAAGTCAAGGAGATGTTCATGCATGGTTATACGAATTATATGGTAACGTTATTTTGGTTGATTTATCTAAGGACCACGCCTTCCCTGCTGATGAGCTCATGCCCTTGTCGTGTAAAGGAAGGTATAGAGGTACCAAACCTTTTCGAGGCACCATTGATGATGTTCTTGGCAATTTTTCTCTCACACTTATCGACACACTTGACACTCTT